TAATTTAACCCTTGGATGGGGTACATTTGCTAAAGACGAATCTATTGTATCCAATACGGCTGATGATGCTGATGATGATGAAAACTCAGTTGATATATAAGATTGAGGTGCTATGGTATCTATGTCTTGTTTTTGTTGTTGTTGTTGATAATGTATTTGTGCTAGTTGACCGAATGTTAAAGGTTTTACAATGCCTTCTTTGTGATCCTGTTGTGTACAAAGTTCAGGTACATCACAATTATCACCTAAATGATTTGGTGGACAAATTAAATTTATTCCATAACCCGCGCCAATACTACTACTACTACTACTAGTGATACCTTTATCGTATTCGCTATTTGTAGATTCATTTATTGACCAGGTTTGCCCAATAGGTTGACCGTGAAGTGAAACTGGAAAAGGTTCATGTTTTATTTCATATGAATCATACTTGTCAGATTCAGAAGCATTTAGATATAGATTTGTGTACATACGTGTAGCCCCATTGTAATCTAAGGTTATCGCTTTATAGTGAAGATCTTCTTTAAGTAATTCTGAAATGATAACCTCTGGTTGCTGATATTTTTTTAAACGATGTTTATTGAAAATGAATACGTAAACAATTATCAACCATAACAAATTTAATACAATTAAATATTCACGTAACATGCTTGTTTGTTTGGTGCCCGTCAACGCAGTCAACGTCAACTTACTACTACTATATCAGAGAAATGTTGCTGATTTGGGTAAGATGTGTATGTTGTTGAATGACAAACAACACACACACACACACACAGTAGAATATAAAAGAATATAAAAAAGGGGTGTTAGGGGTGTCAAGTTTTCAGCCCTAAATGTGTGAGTGCACACACAGAGTGCTGCACAATTCAATTATTTTGAGTGCACTTACCTTCCTTAACAATGGGCAAGAAGGTAGCATAATGAGATGTATTTAGAGAAAATTGAATTGATGGATGATGATATTGAATGTACGAATTCAAAAAAGTAGATGAAAAATATATGGAAAAAGATCGTACTTTATGAATGGTGAGTCAGTAGCTGGGTGGTTGTCAATTAAGGCTCAATCAATAACACTATATGCCTATTCACTTTTTTCAACGCATTCTGAATTCTTTGCATCGAACTCCTCACACAATTTAACAATGCTTTGTTATCATTATGCTTGTGCAATGTAGTAGCCGGTAGAGTAGTAGTAGTAGTAGTAGTAGAGGCTGTTTTCTGGTTTCTAAGGTTGCTATTTGTTGCTTGTCTTAAACCATAATATGCTCCTTAGAAAGTAAATTATCTGATATCATTGTAGAGAATATTTTTGGTACACACATACCAGATGATCGGACATTGTATGAATTGTGTGTACCCATTAGTATGTTCTCTGGACTACACTGACAATCTTGCAAATTGGGAAACCTGAAACGATAATTTAAACCATTTTTTAGTGATCCGTTTAAACATAATAGATTTTTTTGTCCATATGTGGCTTTCATGGCATTCGCTACATTGGTTACATTAGGTTCACTGCTTGTTGCAAGCTCAGCTGTCTTGAGTAGTTGTGACTCAGGTAAACCTAATATAGCAATCCCTGGATCAATACTTATACAATAATATTCTGGTCTACCTAAAAGAGGATTGTATGCAATCATTGTTAAGAAACCAGCTGCCAAATTGCATGCATCGTAATTAATGTTTGCAATTTGGTGTTGTTTAGTTTTCACTGTTATGCGCTGCTTACAAACTCCATCATCGGTTAAATGGAAAACGTTTGCTTTCAATCTATGCTCCAGTGTACTTGATGGATGATCTCCGCCACATATCTTGTTACAATAATCATCTGACCAGCCAATTATATACTGTGATCTACAGTCAACAGTAGTATTAGTAGTATTAGTAGTAGTAGTACTATTTGTTGTTGTTGTTGTTGTCGTCGTCGTCGTCGTCGTCGTCGTCATCATCATCTTTTTCTGTTCGTTTCCAGTATCATTAATAGACGAAGAATGTTTATGTTTGGGTTGCTGGTATTCTTTTATTGAGTTTGATAGTGCATTCTTATTGATGCATGATGATGATGATGATATATGAAACATTTCTTGGTAATTGATCTCTTGTCTCTGATTCGCTGATTGGGATGCCAATTGCATCCCTAGGAAACATGTTACACCTAGAATAAATAAAAAAACTATACAAAGCATGAGAATATTAGGTGGAAAGTTTTCCATGTGATACAATCGTTTTCTTTGTTTTCCTTTTTTTCGAATTAGTTAGTTAGTTTTCCTTTCTTTTTGCCACTGCTTTTGCTACTTCTTCTTTCTTTTAAGTTTCAGGTTTATGGATAACTCGTTTCACCCAAATGTGCACAATGACAAATCAACAATCAAATGATGATCAAATCATGATGAACATTGAACCATACTTTCTAACATACAAATATCACCTAAAATCTATATCAGATGTATGGTGTAACAGTGTTACGGACCAACAGCTTTCAATTCTTGATACACATTTATACGATCATTTGTGTGAGACAACTTCTATCTATCGGATAAATTGTACACATAAACATTCACATCATCTTGGATCGAAAAATGTTTCAATTCCAGTCTGTGATTTAACCAATGAACCTGTTTGTAGAAAATGTTCAAAAAACAATACTCTGTTCATAGATGGTAATTGCCTTTTGTACCATCCTGTTGGAGAAAACCAACTTCTCTACTGTTGTAAGCCTGATGATTCATATCATGAACATTATGTTTCACCACATGATGATGCTGGATGTGGTTACTGTCTTGCCTGTAAAACTGGTTGGATATGCAAAGTTTCCGGTAAACGTATAGTTTGTAACCTGACAACTGAAGTCTACAATGCTGCGAGTGATACCTTCAATCGGTTAGCACACCACAATCAAGCTGCATTACGTGAACATATAAACCAACCATTGTCTGGTAATACTCTATTCTACATTTGTTCTGTACACAAACATACACACCACTATACACCAGCTAGCTACCAGTATCATCATTATCATCAACAGCAGCAGCAGCAGCAGCAGCAGCAGCAGCATCAGCAACAGAAACATTTTGTTAATCAAAATTTCAAATTAAATAACAATAACGAGTTTCCATTGTGTTACCTGCAGGCAACAAAATGTTGTGATAAATCAATCCATATTACCAATTATAAGGCTAGTTTTTATGTGCATGATACAAAACATTTATTTCGTTCGACATCTCTTGGCTTTAATAGGCAAAGATTTATCGCAACAACTACTACTACTGCCACTAACTATAATACTAGTGATACTATTACTACTAATACTAGTGATACTAAAACAACAAAAACAGGTACACCGTCAAATCAAGAAACAAGGTACAGTAACAAAAATCAATGTTTCAAATGGAAAGAATATTTAATTTTTGATCCATCAATATGGAAAAATCAATCAATAAACAAGTTAACCTGTTTCATACGTGCACTGGTAGATGCCAACAGTTCTGCTGATACGATTGAGGCAAGATACAAAGCTTTCACCAATGCAAGTTTCAAAACACCCCAATTATCACTATACAAAAGTGGTAAATTTTCACTTGCTCGTACAAGTGTAACCGGATTTGAAGCATACGGACTATACCAAACTGCAATAATGTCAGAATTGATACCTGATAATACAATCCTTATTCCGAGTATCTTGTATGATATGGCAAAAGCTGCAGCATTCGATTTGAATCTTGTTGCTGTGAAACGAGATCCAGTTTTCTATAATACTTCACTTGGTGTCTTTAAACCGATACGTAACAATGATCCAAGTGTACGAACACTTGTACTCCCATACGGTTGGGGTATACCTTTCCATCAAGACATTGATGGTGATAAAAATACGATATACTTTCTACGTCGCCGATACAATATTAGCAGCAGCAGCAGCAGCAGCAGCAGCAGCAACAACAACAACAACAATTCTAGTGTCAGTAGTAGTAGTAGTAGTAGTAGTAGTAGTATGTCTACCCAATCTTATGGTAATGAAGGCAGTGGCAGCAGCTCCGCTCATCATCATGATCAGGCATATGATTTTACGGAAACATTTGAATTTAAAATTTCAAAATTTGAAATGAATCGTGCACATTCGCGCGTTTTATCATTACTTGGTGATTCACGATATTCGTTATCAGAAAATGTTCGTACTCTGGTACATCGGTGTCCACAAGTTTTTCAGGATAATGAATTCTGGAAGAAAACACATAGATATGGTCCACAATTTATGGCTGATGCAGGAGCCTCATATTACCGAGAAGAGTTTTCTTCCTTCAAAGAGATAGCACGGTGCGCATTTGCCCAGCCAAATTTAAATCTTTTGTCAATTGATGATGTATTGATTGAAAATGAGAGATCAACGTTTCCAATACACGATACAACAACAACAATACATCCTGGTCATACGAAACTACAAGATTGGGTTGACAGTAAAAGTAAAGGTAATCCAGAATCTATAAAGATGTTTCTTTCCTCGATGAGAACAAGTAAACTTTTCAATGCTCCTGAACAAACTGATGCCATTTTGAACCAATATAACAACTATTCACAGGGTAATCAACATCTACGACATCATGGTAAAGAACAATTTGTTGCGTTTTACAGTATGCAAGATATGGTAGTCATTACCAACCTTGTCTATCTGAATAAACTTTTACTAGCTGACCTATCCTGCTACCCTGGTCTTTATACATATATTTGGCCTGAAGCAGCTCTAATTTGTTTCACAAATGACCTGATTGCTAACCTGTCAGCCTGAACAACGTCTTCGAGAGGCCAAAAAGAAAGAAGAACGTAAGCTATTGATTGTTGGAACATGACTCACTGACTTGCTGACTAGAGTCACTACAATGTAATCAGTATGACAGTGTTTGTAGTAGTACACAACATATTGTTACAATAAAGCAAACGAATGGAAATGGAATGACGCGTAAAATGTAAAGAAAAAATTGTATTGCTAGTCGATCGGTTTTAATGATTAATGTATAATGCTTTATTGTTTTTCAGTAAATTTGAAGCAATACATGAAAAAATATTGTGTATGTGTATGTGTTTGAGTTTTTGACGTGAGTCATCAGGTAGAAGGGCTCTAAATTTTTGTGAGAATGTAGATGTTTTTATGTTTTAATGGAGATTACTGAGAATGGTGACGTATTATGACGTATTTGACGTAAATATCAGGATAAGCAAAAAAGAAAATAATCAAATAATAATCAAAGAAAAAGCGGAAAGCAACTAGTGCAATGTTTGACCTACGTACACATCCACACACACACACACACACGACAAAATTATTAATGAATCATTAAACCACTAATCACCAATCCCGAGAAATCATCTGGTTCCGGAGGCGTCTTAAAGTCTGCCCTTTTTTGCAGTTTAACAAATCAATCAGCAATATAAAATAGTTATAAAATGTGTGCAAGTGTGTGTGTAAGTGTCTCTGTGTGTGTGTGTGTGTGTTTGTTAAAACATCCAAACTACAACAACAACTACTACTACTAATATTATGACTTGCATATTGGATGAACTGAATGGTAATCTAATTAGTTGACATTAGTTGTTTGGATGTTTTTCAACACCAAATTTAAACGTTGGTTTGATTTCCAAGTCCTTTCGAGGCGCGATCCGTAGTATTCAATATTTGATCAGGCTCAATGGCTTCAAACTGTGGATGGAATACTTTCTCAATTAACAGTTGGCCAATTCGATCACCACAATTTACAGTGAAAGGTTCACTGGAATGATGATTGTACAGGACAACATGTATGTTACCACGGTAATCAGCATCAATAACACCAGCACCTACTTCAACATGATGTATACATGACAAAGATGAACGTGAAGCAATTCTTCCAGTGTATCCGGCAGGCAGTGCAATAGCAATTCCTGTCGGAATGATTGCTTGACCACCCGCAGGTGGAATAATAATGGGTTCACTTGAAGAACTTGCCAAATCGTATCCGGAGCTCTGGTCACTAGACCGATAAGGTTCAAGTGCAGTTTCACATAGTTTACTGTATTGAAGTTTATCCATTGCAAAACACTTTTTTTTCTAACCAGAAGCTATACCGAGAGAGAGAGAAAGAAAGAAAGAAAGAAAGAAAGAAAGAAAGAAAGAAAGAAAGAGTCGAAAAAGTGTAGTAAACGCTTGTTAATACTACAACTACTATACTATAACACAGATTACCAATGAGATGATGTAGAACTCTTGTAAAAGTTGAAGTGACCTTTTAGGTGGTACGTTGTCCGCTATTTATATGTGCTCAGGCAAAAGTAAAAATGGATGGTTTTTGTAGAAAAAGTGTGACTGCATGTTTAAAAATATCAACCTCTTTTTTTGTTGAAGGGAAATTTCTATCGGTTCGTTTTCTAATAATTTGGTATGATGCATTGATTTCATAAATTGATCCAACGGTTAACTGTAATTTTTTTGGATTACCAATTGTACCGGGAAATAGTTGCTGTTCACTTGTATAGAAAATTCCGTTTGCTTGTAGTTGTACATCAATTGATGGTTCTTTAAATTTAATCAATTGATTGTTTTGGTAAATGATTAGACCATCAAAAAACCTTGTATCATAAGTACAAGGTATTGGTGGTGGATACCATTCTTGTATGTGGAGTGGTTTTCCTTGAATAGTGTGATCACCAGACACTTTCAACAAAGGATGATGATAGTCTTTATACAGTGATGATGATGATGGCAACGACGACGACGACGTCTGGAATCCCTTTGATAAAGTCACATAATTCTCCGGACATGGATCTAGGCTTATTCGGCTCTTACCAGTGTTTTGTGGACCCGCCAGAATACAGGTCCGCAGGTATGACAATATATCTATATTTGTTTGTCGGTCAACAGTGTACGGTTTACCACCTAACATTGTACCTAAACATTCAACAATAACAATTGAATTGACCATTAGCTCAACTTGAAAACAAAAGCGTGCTAACCATGTCAACTGTTTCTGTGTAAACTTTTCTTCAAGTTCACCACTAATAGGTAAAATTTGTATTTCACAACCATCTTCACAGATTGCACAAACCCATTTGTTGCCTGTTGTTGTTGTTGTTGTTTTTCCATCATACTCATCATCTGCGTTTCCCTGATGGTTATTCTTACTACGACTTGTTGTCGACTCTTTCTTTTCTTCTTCTTCTTCTTGGTTTTCTTCGCTACGACACCATATTAGTTTTGCTTTAACGCCATCCCATTTGTATGCCCAAAGAATGTGCTCCTCATCAGCAATTTTCCATGATGAACCTTTTAAAATATCACTTTCAGGTTTGACTGTCTGTTGTTGTTGTTGATGTTGTTGTTGTTGTTGTTGTTGTTGTTGTTGAACTTTTAATGCCGTGAAAAATTGTAACTTGGGTGGAACCATAAAAAAAAGGTCTGAAATACACATGTTATCAAAGGTAACATTGATAAACCCATGCCACACCATTTGTGACATTAAATGTTGTTCCAAAAGGTGCAATGTGTCCAGCTCAAGTGATGCCGTATACTCAATTTCTGCTGAAACATTATACCGTACTCCATATCTAGATTCAATTTTATTAAGACTTAATCTTACCATAAATTCAGTAGGACAAGTTGTTCCTGGTACAGACATTGATTGCAAGATGATGTCTTCGGCATCATCACATTTTTCATCATTATTCACATTAACATACAGCGAGTCGGTAACCAGATCAAATTTACCGTTTTCCACTACATCTATATCATCATACGTAGTGGTATTAGCAGCAGCAGCAGCAGCAGCAGCAGCAGTAGCAGCATCAGCAGAAGCAGCAGACATGTTGGTATGTTTAGTATACATACAGTTTACATCGTCATCATCATCATTATGCGCATTGTAAGTGTAGTATAATGATGATGATAGTTTTTGATTAACAACATTTATCGGTATGTAGGTAAGTTGTCTGAAAATTGATGTTTCAATTTCATTGTTTTGTAAACATTGATCATCAATCGAGATGCTATTTTCGTGAGCAACCGAACGAACTATTGGGAAAAATAGTTTTGACTGTTTCTCAAATCCTAATACATAGCGTTTATCTTTAATCACCTTTTGCTGGAAACTTCGTGAATGACAACGAACATTGTCATTACTGTAGTAAAAAATAACATCATCATAGAATTGACTGTTGTAAGCTGTACACTTTTTTACTTTAGTATTTTTTTCTATAGCGTTAAAATATTCTTCAGGTGCCAACTCAATTACGATTGAACTTTCATGTTCAATGTTTAATTTACTTGTAGTGGTACTTGTAGACATTATCAAACCAACAAGTGTACAGGTTTGAAATAAATGGTACAAATGGCAAATCAAGTTCCTAAGAGATTATGTTTATTATGCTTATTATTATTATTATTATTATTATTATTATATACTTATTGAGTTTGGTTTTGCTTGATTGACACGAGAATCTACAATCCTGAAGGATTGACACGAATACCAGACGAAGAAGATGATGATGATGATGACGGGTATCCAGTTGTTGATGCTGATAATCCTGATGATGATGAGTAAGGTCCTCCTCCAACACCACCTCCAGCAGCAGCAGCAGCAGCACTACCAATATTACTTACATCAGTTATACAATTTTTTATTGTTTTTGATAATATTGTGTAATCCCATATTTTACCAAGTAAAGCACAACCTAACATACCACAACCAGTTATTACTAGATGACTTATAATTTTATCGGTATCATTTATCATTTTATTTATCATTTCTGAATTGCTGATGTTGCTGCTAATGTTTGTATCATTATTATTATTAGTAGTAGTGCCTGTAGAAGGTATGCTTCCAGTAGAAGTTAGGTTATCAGAAGAAGATTTTTGTAGATTTGCAGATTTATTTAATGCTGCTGATGCTGATGATGATCCTGACGATGTAGAAGAGGCAGCAGCAGTAGCAGCAACATTAGAAGGTGTGTTATTGGTTTGTGCCATCAATTTGGCTACTTTACGTTCTTTTCTCCAATTAATAATGAATGCGAGTGTAATGATTAGTATACTTATAGTTAGAAGTATTAAGCTGACAAGTGAAGATCGACGTGTTGCTTTAGCAGCAGCATCACATTCAGGGGTTAAAATGTAACTAATGCTTCTTGATGCCATACCAAAAGCTGATGACATGATTGTTAAACAGTGAAAGTTGTTCTACTGTTCCAGTATAATTGAATATATAGACAATTTTATTTGAAACAAGTTTTTCCAATATTTCATTAACTGTATCATCAAGTTTACAATCTCTATATCGCCGATGCTGACGTTTTTGTTTGTCAAATTTTTCACGTTTACCTATTCTAGAAAGATAGATAGAGTTATCGCTTTTCACAGGTACCCTTATCGTTTGAATTGATGTTGTTGATTGACTGTCACAATTTGAGTCATTTTCAAAAGGCAAGGGTTGCTGTGGTGGTTCCAAAGTATAAAGTAAAACTTGTTCAGGGTTTGCTACAGACGTTTTCATGAAAAGTAATGACCACAATCTGTTTTCTGGTAACTGAATTGTGCTATCACAATCTTTGCTTACAACAAATACACAAATATGTCTGTTGTTGAGAGTATCCATAACTTTGGTACAATGATTACGCCAACTTCAACAACAACAACAACAACAACAACAACAACTCATATCTGGTCTTGTCACATTCATCCAGCTGGTCGATGTAAAATTTATTTTGAACCGTCAAATATTTATGCTGATAACTATACCAATGGCCAGTGTTACCATGTTATTCCATTAACCAGTGGCAAACCATTATCACTTCTAGCGCTACAATTTCGTTCTAAACCGGGTTCCCTTGAATACTGGGAATCTTTCAATGTATCGTCATGTACATGTTTATACTATTCAAATATGAAAAAAGATCAAGATTTCATGTGCAACATTGTATTTCCATTTTTATGTGAACTGGATAGATTAGGTGCAATATATGATAGATATACTGATGATGATGGTGCCAAATCATCTGCCCACTCTAGAAGGTCAAACCTTAAAATCGATATCTACAGTGAACTTGTAAAATATCATTTACTGGTACACCAGGATGGTAAATCTGTTAGTCTTTGTAATAAATATCTACTTCGCTCCAATAAAATAAATAAAAGAATGGACAATATTTACGGTGCTCAACGAACTAGAAAACTTCTTCTTAAAGCTCTGTTTGGTCTTCAATGTAAACCTGGACGTTTTAATTCAACCGATATACCAAATTGGGTGATTGAATATGTATTCATCGATGATATCCAAAAAACCAATAAACAATACCGATACCAATACCCAAAGTACATCCCCTACCATTACCAACAAAAACAACAACAACAACAACAAACAAATAAACGGAAAGAATCAAGTTAACAGAAACCTAACCAATAACCAATTTGGCACACAATGCTCACACAATGTTATCCTTAGTACACGGAGTCTTTGTTCATTACTTGTTACCCATTATCCACATGTAAGTGTTCACTTCAATTAGCATCCATCACTCATCATCAGTTTAGTTATTAGACTATTGCTGAATATGCGCTTATTCCATATGTATCCATTCTATGTCTAGCTCTTTTTTTTCGAATAGATAAAAGTTAGCTTGCTGATGCTAAACATTTAGTGCATTTAGCATTTTTGTATTGAATGACGAATGGCCTGACAAAAGAGAGCGGCTAGCAAATGGTTATTGTAATATGTTATTCTTAGCATATTCAGCAATAATGTTTCATCACCAACTTAAATATTTACTGTTCTTTTCATTTATTATTATGTTTTTAACCTCGCTCCTCAATCAGATTTGGGACTATGTAGCTAAACATGAGATAAGCGTCTTTCGATATGGATCGCTAAGTAATACGGGTGAGTCTTTTGTTAAAACATTTATTGGAAAACGGTGTTTACATTTGTTGCGTGGTCCAGCTGTAATGTATAATAAAAAAATTGTTATCGTAACCAGTAAACATACACTTTTTACCACTGATCTATACCCACTTATTGTTATACGTATTTAAACTTTAAACAATAAGTTGTTATGGTTATAATAGATAGATAGATAGATAGATAGATAGATAAAAGAATAGAAACAAACTACAACAACAACAACAACAACAACAACAACAACAGCAAAGACGACGACGACAACGACGACGACGACGACGCAGCCAACAAAAAACCTCAACATAAATCCTGTATCGTGTTGTTCATAATGTTATCAACTGTGATTGAAAAAATACCCTGTTTATGATTCCTTTTTAAATTTGGTTGTTTGCAGTTGTTGTTGTAACTCAATGATGTTTATTCGAAAATCTCATCAATCACCGATATATACCAAGATGTAT